GGGAACAGGGTAAACACCAATAGAGGAGAACAGAACCAAAATCGCGAAGAGAAAACACAAAACGCTGGGTCAAAAGGACCCAGGATCATGACAACAATAATGAATCCAAATGTATCTAAGCTCTGATCACATAAAATTTCGTATCCACATAACAACAAGAATATTCAAAGGCTGCAAAGATACAGTAAATTACTCTTTAGAACTTTAACAGGAGATGAGCCACTTAGATGTGAACATTCACTTTCTCTCCACTTATTGTGGGGGTGTAGACAATCATGTCCTGATTAAAGTTGACTTTTTTCAGTGAATTCTTGAGAAATGTCAAAAGGGTTTTTTTTGCTCCCTCCTTGTACTCAGCTGTCCAGGACATGGGTGTTTGTAGTTCCACTCTGTTTTTAACTTGTGCCTCATTTTTGAACAAGTTGCTCAAACTTTCAGATTCAGCACAATTGCCATAGGGCCATTTTTCAATTGTACTTGTTTTCAAAGAAAACAAATTGGCACATGACCGGCAAGGAGGCTTTACTTTTCCATCCAGGAGGCTAAATGCACGACACTTCACATTCTCTGGTAATCTAATGGTTCCATCAATTTCTGTTTTTCTGTCTTTGCTTTTGTTTTTCTTTTTATTTGGAAAATATGTCATCACTGCACCAGCTACATATTCATCCCATTCATGACAGCATGAGACAGCAACCATGATTTCCCTAGCATCCCTAGTAGAAGTGGACATAGAGACTCCATAGTGCTTGACTGAGCTCTGACCCGCCTGAGAGATGCAGATTGCAGAGGAGAATAAACACTTTTGATCAGATTTGGCACCTTTCCTCAGGTCGTCGATGAGTCGTTGTAGTGTGGTTTGTATGCCCTTTTCATTCTCCTGTCCAGTTAGACGAACAATCTAAAAGCAATAAAAGATTAAGCTGTTATCTCCACAAATCCAAATATTTTCTGAGTCATAAATATCTTTCTCACAAACTGTTAATGTTGATTAGATACATTTTTCATGAAAGTTATTTTTGATATCATTGGACAGCATGAAGACAGCTTACAGGAACTTGCTTTGGGTGTTATCACTCCATAAATGTTGGGCTTTTAACTGCATCTTCATAGGTTTTACAGCTTTTCCTACTGATAAAAAACTCCCTCATGGCTATTTATGTTACAAAGTAATTAAACAAGAAAGAGTTAAATGACAGAAAAGTTTCTGTTTTTCATGTATGTGTATATGAGTGTATAGTTTTGACTTTATATGTTGATATATCTGTAAATATGAATTTCTTGGGTTTACAATTGGATATGTCGCAAACAGGAAGAAACGTGATGCTTATTGGTTCAAATAGAAGAAGAGGGATATAAATAGGGTGGGATATATGGGGTGGGATAAAAATAAACGGGGTGGGTTATAAATAGGCTCATGCTTCTTCCTACTCTTTTCTGAAAATGTTATTTATTAGGATTATTCTATTTTCATTATGCTTTGTTTTGCTTGATTGTGGGTTTTTTTCCTTTTATGTTGGAAATAAAACTACACTATTCAATACAACATTAACTAAGTGTCATAGAAGCCAACAAAAGATAACAACAATAACATAAACCATTTAAAAAAGGTGTTTGTAAAAACATAAACATCTGCAAATCAAGTTGCTCCCATCTGCAATTTGACAGCAACTTACCCTGCAGTTAGTTACCAGTTACCCTGGTAACTGACTCAAAGTTGCAGTTAACAACAGAAAACCCAAGTTACTCTCATCTCAGGATTAACAACCTGGAGTTGTTAGCTAAACTTGCTTCCTTGAATACCCTACAGGCTAACAACAGATTAGTCTAACAACAGATGAGCTTCACAAACTAAACTCTTACCATGTCCAGCACACATGAAAATGGACTCCGCCTGGGTAGCTGAGAGGAATAGCACTCAAAAGGTTTGGGGTAAAGTGCTTTTATCTCAGCGAATTTGACATCCAAAATCTTTTTTGGGGTATAAGCTGAGTTGGTGATGGTTCCCAAAAAGAAGATGCTGTGAAGAATCTGTTCAAACAAAGACAGTCTGTTTTCTATGTTGCATAAGTATTTGTATTCAAACCCACTGACAGCCCACACATTACACCTGTCAGATACAGTACCTCATCCACTAACACTGTAGTATCTTCTGTAGTGTGGTTGCTCAGGTCCAACATTTCATTGATTATAATGTATGCGTTCCTCACGAAATCATCACTTTCAATAATTTCTTCTGCCTGAAAAAAATAGAAATAAAACCCCTTAGAAAAGCCCGCATCTGAGTGACAAAAGAAGCAATAATATAAAGAAATACATTTAAAAACAAAATGAAAAGAGACACTGCTCAAACGCGGCTACTCACCATTTTGAATGCACTGGAAATGAAACTTATACCAAATACAGGCCCTCCTCTTTAGTAAAAGCTCTACCTGTCTTCTTTGTCGTGACGTAAACTAAAAGATCAACTTTCAGGAAGTTGTGTAAATGCGCAAGAAGGAAATACACACACAGAGTAAAAAGAAAGCACACTGTCTTTCATTCAAATGTTTTACATATCAGGACATAATAAAAATCTTCTAGTCCTGTTAAAAGTAGTTGAATACAACCTCAAAAGAACTACAACACAACGTATTACACTGTGTTGCTATTTAATCAACAAAAACTAAACCAAATGCAAAAAGTGTGCGGAAAACTAACCACACCTGTCAGTGGTGTGTGACATTTTTAAATACGATGAAGGAATACAAGACAGTCATAAGGAGTTTCATAGAGCTACGTGCACGGGTGAGTGATCGGGTGATACTCACAACCGAGGCATTGCAGTCAGATTTATTTATACCAAGAGACAGTTGCCCTGTGTACACACACACACACACACACACACAGAACACACACACATGCTGATAAGTAAGCTCGAAAAACAGGAAATGCTAC